CGATTGGGAAAATCCAGAGATTGATTCGTCGGTGGGTATTCCTTATAATGCTCAATTATTTTGTCATTTAGCTATGATTCTGTCCCAATAAAGTCAGTACTAACTCAAAATTTACAGGCTCCTTCACTTGGTAAATTCAACAAAACTATTGAAGATGAAAGTCATATACTCGGCCTTGATTCCCCATCAGTAATGTCATTACGACATTATCTATGTGAGTCTCTGAAACCTAGGGTTTTGACTATTCCCGCTCCTCCAAGTATAGGTCACTCTCACAATGTCAGGCTTGCCATTTTATTCTCAGGTGGACTTGATTGTACAGTCTTGGCAAGATTGGCACACGATTTACTACCATCAGATCAAGAGATTGATCTTCTCAACGTTGCATTTGAAAATCCTCGTGTCATTAAAGCTGCAGAAACCGGACCTCGGCTGAAGAAAGGGGCAAACCCTCCGCCTCTGGATACTACTCAAGTACTGGATAAGAAAGCTTCTCCATATGAGCTCTGTCCCGATAGAGAAACGGGGAGGAAAGCTCATCAAGAGCTTCAAATTGTTTGTCCTGGCCGAACATGGAGATTTGTTGCAGTGAGTCAATAATTTAACTCGACATTGGTTCTCAAGAATTGACACGAAGCAGATAAATATCCCTTATACAGAAACAATGAAGCACAGAGCAAAAATTGTAGACTTGATACATCCACATAATACCGAAATGGATCTATCGATAGCTTTTGCTCTATACTTTGCATCTCGCGGTGTTGGTTTAGCATCGCAAGCCACTGATACAGGGGAAACCCTATACACGACGCCTGCGCGTGTTCTTCTTTCTGGACTCGGCGCCGATGAATTATTCGGTGGGTATACACGTCATGCAACCGCATTTAATCGGAATGGCTTCTCTGCTCTTTTAGACGAACTAGAATTAGATGTGAATAGACTTGGTAAACGCAATCTCGGTCGAGATGATCGTGTGATATCACATTGGGGAAGAGAAGCTCGGTTCCCATATTTGGATGAAGACTTAGTGAAGTGGGCTGTCGAATCTCCTATATGGGAAAAATGTGGGTTTACATCTGAATCACGAGGCCCTGAGACGCCAGATATAGAGCCCGGTAAGAAAGTGTTAAGACTCTTGGCTTATAATTTGGGTATGAGATCAGTTGCTACTGAGAAAAAACGTGCTGTGAGTCTTACCTACCGATTCCATATTTCTGACTATTACTTACATCACTAGATACAATTCGGTGCTCGAACAGCAAAGATGGAAATTGGACGAACGAAAGGAACTACCTTAATTTCATAACCTATCTCACATATGCAAATCAGTTTCATTCACATATTCTGTTTAACTTCTTTCCATTTTCACATCCCCCGTCGGCTATGATGAAAAACCAGATACTGCTGAACCATTTAGTGTACCAACGGGAGCTCATTCATATGGATTTTTTTTCTCGCGTGTTTAAACCTTTACCTTTACGTAAAGGTGGTAACCAGAGAGAAATCATAGAATGCCGTTGGATTCAAACACGGATGTTTATGAAGTAGGAAAGGCAAGCCTGAGCCAACGTATTCCTCACATATAAGAAATGTTTTCAAATGTCTATATCTTCTTAAACACCTGATCATGAGTGGAAATAGATTAAAGATAGTACCTAGGTAATCAAAAGTACTGGGTTCGAAGTGCTCGGCTCATGACTATCTCGTTTTGGTCTATCCGAAGTAATATCCCCGAAGAAAGGTCACCTATAGATGATAACTTCAAATGCATGAAAAATTCATTCAATCCTATACATTTCCTCTCAACCATCACTATCAATCTCTTTTTCTCCAAAACACCATATCCCCCATTTCATTTCCCACATTCCATCATCTCTCTCACAATTCAGCCAGCCAGCACCCCACAAACTCAAATCTCCTAGTTCCCCAACTCGAAAGTCTCCATCCACCTCCCCCTTTCCCTTCCCCACACTCCCACAATCTTTAATACATAAGCCATCATAACTCCTCCCCCCCGCCCTGTGTCCATGGCGCAGCGGCACAATAAATGTTCAATTCGTCATACTTTTACATTTATGCAACCAAGGGGAGTAGACTGTCGTGAGACGCAGATACCTACTAGAGGGGCCCGCTGGTAGGTATCTGTGGAGTATCTTGTGTTGCGTGGGGTTTGGGGGTTTGTATGGATAGATCAATGGGCAATTCGTCATACCTGCACATTTATATGAGGAGATGGGGCTACTGAGGGGTTTGGAGACAAAGGATGTACATCGGACGCGGTGGAACCTTTTTGGGGGTTTTGGGGGGGCTCGGGTTATGACATGGGATGGGGTTTGTTTGGATTTATATCTTCATTTTTTTTGGTGGGAAGGAAGATTGATAGGTGGAGTGAAGTGGATGTATTGTGTGGTTAGGTTGACAATTTGAGGAGAAAGGGGAAGAGGAAGAGGAAGGCACGAGGAGTGAGAAGTGAGGAGTGAAGAGTGAAGAGCCAAAGTGGCAGGTACGATTTTATGGTCATAGCTATGAGTATATTAATATAGAATGTATGTTTCAGGGTACTAGGGATTTATCATATCTCATCGCGTCTCTTCGCTTGCAATTGGCTTTTAGTATCTTTGTCTTTGGATATAAGCCTAGTATGTGTATGATCATTTACTTGGTCACATCAACACAATTTCATGATCCCAATCTGTGAGATGGTTTGTTATTAGCATTGAATCGAGGTTTCAAGTAGGTATTGATTTCATGGATAATGAAAAGAAAGTTTTCTATCTCGTCATGTTTTCCTTGTACACATACACTCGATGTCACATACACTCGATGTCACATACACTCGACGTATAATATATCCAATCGCTACAAATAAGAAATCAAAACGGTATGATACTTCGAGAGCTGCGAAATTAGATAATAAACCCCTTTACCTACAGCCCTTCAAAGAAAACTAGGTATATATATATGTGTGTATATATAATATAATGTTACATACTTGTTTGTATTTGATCTGAACAGAGTTGTTTAAAGATATGGGATTGGGAGGAGATTTAAGTTGTACGATACATGCGATTCGTGTAAGTTGTAAGAGAGAGATGGGCAGTAGATAAATAGTAATTGGGTTTGAACGATTACCTAGATGACCATCTTTCAGGGATGGTATATAACAACTACTTGAGTACATACTATACATACTAGCTAGATAATTCGAGAGTTGATAGTCGAGAATGGAGGATGAGGAGAACATAGATATATAGCATATACCAAAGATCCAAAGAGGCTGTTCAAAAATAAATAAATTCGCTTTTAGAATCTAGATTGAGGAATTTTGAGTATCAAAACCAAGTTTATATACATATCTTCGATTTCCTTCCTAGTCGACCTACCTACCCACCTACCTAGCCAATATACCAGATTGTATTATGTCCAGTTCGCAATTGATCTGCCGACGAAGTACCTACCCACCTACCTATCCAGCACCTCTCATCTTTCCAATACAACGCCATACACTATATACATCACATATCACATGTCCCACCGAGTTGACATGATCACAATCCCATCCCATCCTATTCTCTGCTCTTCTCTTCTAACCTACCTATCTCTATGGAATCCCCAGCGCTAGGACTTACAACTTATATAGCAAAAAGATAGATGATAGGTAATCTAATACCACTAACACTAACACTAACACTAACACCAACACACATCCCAACTTCCAAGTATCTACTTAATATTCATACACCTACTCACCTCCTAGTAGTTCTCTCGAATCAACAGTATGTATATATCTACACATCTATATATATACTCACCTATCTATCTACCTACCTATTTACTTATTCGATATACAATCAAGTCCAATTCCCAATTCCCAATTCCCAATTCCCAATTCCCAACTCAATACTCGATATCATCCATCCATAAACTACCACCTATCCCCATCCTTAAAAGCATCCTTCCACACAAACTACCCACCATACCCATCTTTCCCCGGATTTCTTTCTCTCCTTCCTTCCTTCCTTCCTTCTTTCTCTCCTCCCCTCCCCCTTCCCTCCAATCTTACCAAATCCACATCCAAATCCACATCCATCCACCCACCCACAATCTCAAAGCCCATCATCTCACTAAAGCACCCCCCCCGATCCTCATCCCCGGAACTCCCATTTCCATCACGTAATAAAAATAGCGTAAGAGAAAATATTTCCAGGTCCATTGTCGAGAGTTTAAAATTACGGTGGTTATTCGTCATGAAATCTGTATACATATATACGTCTATGGTAGAGAGGGTCCAATACTGTTATCTTTTGTGTTTTAGTATCGTGTTGTGCTTGTATGTTAGTTGTATCATGTTATCGAATTCTTCATCATCGTCATATTTTCCTCGTATTATCGCTTCCGCCATTTATCCTCCCATCATCTTCGGATATGACCAACTCAATTCAACATTTCATCTCCACATATTCAAAAACAAACACACACATCTCAAAATTCATTAAAAATCATTCAATATCATTTGATCCCAATTTCCTCATCATTGTGTGCTACGGTACATACAAATCAGAATCCAAATCGAGATTAGAAAAAGAGAACACCCCGCGAGAACAAAGCCTCACCTCCTCCCTCCCGTAACCAACTTTTTCACCGTCCATTCAATGGTCAATAAATACAAAAAGTCAGAAACTACACGCAAAGTTTGCATGTATAGTCACTGTATAGATGTATGCCGTAAGTAAACCTCAGTTTCATACATCGAAGAAAAACGTTGAAGAAAAGAAAAAAAATGTGGTATCTCGAGTGAGTTGCTAGCTTTCTTGTTGGAAAAAAAAATAAACATTGAACTTGATATCATGGCGAAGAAGTAGGTAAACAGAAAGGAAAATAAAATTACGGATCATGAATCATGATTGTTCAAGACCATATCTATGCGAAGTCGCTGAGCATCTAAAAAGACGAAAGACAAAGAAGGCTAAAGACTGGAGCTACTTATCAAAGGTGATAATTTAAGCTTCCATATCTTGAGCAGAATGTCTAGCCTCCTTCTCGTGGTGAGGAGAAGGAGTGGTAGCAGTATCGCGACCTGAGTATCTGCTTCCAGTCTCGGATGTATCGTTCAAGACCTCACGAGTAAGCTCAACGTAATCGTAAGCGAACTCACCGATCTCAGCATCATCGATACCGAGAATTTCGGCCTCTTCGGTAGCGCGGAGGGAGAGACCTGGGATGAGGTTCATGATGAAGAGAATGATACATGTTCCAACGAAAGAGTAAACACCGCCGGAAATAGAATCGGCAAGTTGGTATCCGAGTTGGACCCAGTGTCGGTTAAGCCATCCACCTGGAATCTCGGTGAAACCATCAAGATGCGCTATGTAATCAGCAGCAAAGAAAGCAGTGAGAATGTTTCCGATGAATCCACCAACGGCGTGTTCGGCGAAGATATCCAGAGCATCATCAACACCGAGGACGAACTTGAGCTTGGTAGCATAATTAGCACCGGCAGCTCCGACAACACCATAGATGATGGAAGCCCAAGCAGGAACGAAACCAGATCCTGGAGTGATAGCAACGAGACCAGCAATAACACCAGAGCAGAAACCGACAGTGGACCATTTGCGCTCAAGACGGTAATCGAGGACACACCATGTGATACCACCAACACAGGCGGCCAAGTTGGTAACGACTGCGGCCATAACAGCACGCATGTTAGCTGCAAGAGCGGAACTAAAGAATACAATTGTTAGTTCTTCGTCTAAAAAGTTGGTCGTTCTTCAAGTCATGTGAAATAAAACATGAAGCAAAGTTGAGTCCAGCAGAGAAAGTTGGATCAAACATACCCAGCATTGAAACCAAACCATCCAACCCATAGGAAAACAGTTCCAATGACAATGTGTGTAACATTGTGTGGGCGGTAGTTCAATTCGTGAGTACCATGTCCACGACGTTTGCCCAACATGATACTGTATGCGAGAGCTGCACAACCCGAAGCAATATGCACAGGAGTTCCACCAGCAAAGTCGAGACCACCCATCTTGAAAACCCATCCAGAGGCGTTCCAGGTCCAGCAAGCAATGGGATCGTAGATGATGGTTGACCAAACGAACATGAAAACAATGGTTGGAAGCATGCGACCACGTTCTGCGACGGCACCAACTGCGAGCGCTACAGTGATGGCGGCGAACATACCCTGGTAGACGGCGAACATGAGATCGGGAATTTTGGTGGAACCAACAGATGGTGCTGCGAGGACATTTCTGAAGCCGACTATTCGAATCGAGTGGTTAGTCTTTACTGTTGTACCATGTTCTAGAAGACGTTGTACTTACTATTTTCCAAGTCACCGATATATTTTCCAGCGCTGTGAGAGAAGGCGAGAGAGTAACCCCAGAAGAACCATTGGAAAGAAACTACTGCGGTAGCCATGATTGAGAGCCAAATCAACGACAACGCAGACTTTCTACGAGCAAGACCGGAATAGAAGAAACTGTGAAGATGGAACGATTAGTATCTATGGTACAGCCATGCATGTATAGGAAGTACATACCCGACACCAGGAATCATGAGCAAGACCAAAGCAGTGGAAGTGATCATCCAAGCAATGTCACCAGCCTGTTACACTTGGTTAGTTCCGAGGTCTGATTTGAGGGGTTTTGTGTACCAAAACTTACATCATAAAAGATGTTGAGGTCCTCAGTCAATGAATCACCCCCAGCGGCATTTGTACCATTGTATTCAACAACCATCTTGAATACACTTGACCTCCGTCAAAAAATTGTAAACTCTACTGGAGCAAATGAGGTATAGTTGTCTTCAGATGAGACTGAAAGGTCATCAAGAAGATGAAGGATAAATTGTCGTAGCTAGCAAAGAAGCTCACAGATCGAAAGGGAAAGGTTGTTGGCGTGAGAGGAGGTCGAATTGCAAAAGGAAGAAGAAGAAGAACTTTGTAGATACTAAAGAGTATTATACCCAGATGGCCGAAGTCGGATAAGGTACTGGGCTATGAATAGGGCTGTGAGTATTCAATGGCAAAGATAACGGGCGAAGTCGGAAAGAATTAATTATATAAAGAGATTAATGTGAACAGATGCAAAGGTGAGAGGCTGATGTGGGAAGCTTCCTGTTGGTGAATTTTGGTATCGTTATGCAATCCCAACGTGTGTGAAGGGAGCTGAGTTTTAGGTGAATGTGAGAGTCGAGAGTGAAGAGAGGACAAAATGAGTGAGGAGTGATAGTGATGATATTGATTAATCACTGGCAAGACTCAAGTTACCTTTCTTTGAATTTTATTCAACACCACTGGAAGGAAGTACAATGACGGAAAAAAGGAAAGAGGTGAGGAGGAGGGGGAAGGGAAATAGTTTTATGGATTCCAATCGAATCCAAGAAAGCTCCAATTTACGAGCAAAGTAATAATCAAGCTACCACCGACAAACCCAACCAAACCTACTAGTATCCCATGTCATGCCATGCTTACATCCAACCTTATCCGAAGCTGGAGCCTGTACGTGCGTGCAGATGAGCAAGATGTGGAGGTGTATCGTGACAAGGAACGAACCCGTTATTTGACTACGATGTAAAAAGAAGTTTCATTCCGCTAAAGGAAAGGGAAGGAAAGGAGAGGAGAGGAAAGGAAAAGATAAGTCGATGCTGAGATTTAAAATAGCCATCTGATTCGTCTTTTTTCTTTTTTCACTGCGTACACCTGGGTAATTCATATTATTCCTTACGTACCCGGGTAGTCACACAAGGACCAATGGTTGATCTGTTTGTTTGGGGCAAATCTTTAATCTATGTGAACCTTTTCTCCTTGTCCTCTTTGGGGTTTGCGTAACATGTGAAAGATGGAAAAAGATGTGAGAAGATATCGGTAGCTTTTCTCTATTGAGTTGGTCAATTTCTATATCTGGATGGTGATTCCGATATGGAGGAGTGTGTGTGTTGAAACTTAATAAGAGAAATTCCGGATATTATTTCTTCTTATCTTTGGATTGAATTATGAGTATTACGGTTGGCGTTGGGGTTGGTATTGATACGGTGTTGGGGATTGATGTTGGTATCAGCATCTCTTTTTACTTTGTTCCATCAGTCATCACTAGCTATCTCCATCTCTATCTCTTCTACGAGGGGAAAGAGAAGAAAAGAGAAGAAAGAGAAGAAAGAGAAGACTGAGAAGACTGACTCCCTGGCCCATTCCTTCTTCACTCCTGGTGTATAATCCATCTTCTGCCTATCCTTCTTCATACACACCTACATACACTTATATTATTAGGGAATGTAAAAAGATAAAAGATAGACAGGGGTTAAATTATCCTGTCTTGACCTATCAAAAAGCATGTATCAGCAGCAGGGTTTAATCAAGGTAGTTTCCTCATCAAGTTAGCATGAGATAAGAAGATCCGACGGTTGGTATCCAATGTGATTGGTTCTCTTTGGTATTCCCCCCCACGTGCCATGGCTTTTAACTCTGCAGAAATGCTTTCGACTGTCTACATCGTATTTTATTAGTTCCCGAAGTCAGCAAAGAAGCTTTCATGGGTGGTTTGCCAAGATATCGGAAACCTATGAGACTCATGGAAACTATCAGCCTTGAGAGAAATGATAGCATGCATTACTAGGTGTTCAGGGCTGGGGAAATTCATTACGGAGTACACTCAGCACCTACTTATTATATTAGTACCAAGAGATGGAATGGATGCATACAAACATCGAATTGTGGAGGATTGACCGATTGACCGATTGACCGATTGACCGATTGACCGATTGACAAATGTACCTGATACTCGGTTTTGTTCCATTGAGTTGGTCCCACCTATGAAGAGGAACGAAATGCAGATCGAAGGTTTAAAGCTTCAAATCGGGCATAATCCATTCCGTCAATTTTGCCCAGATCTTTTTGCTTTATGTTGTATCACTACCAATCCCACTACTACTACCACTACTATCTATATAATCTTAATATACGACAAACTCTCGAGTACTACCTGGGAATGTAGGTATTTCTTACAGTCACAGCCTTGTGGTTCCACGGCAGATGGAAGCGAGGCTCACGGTATTTGGTAGGAGCCGTATAGCATTTTATTGTGCGAGGACGAGGCACGAAATACAAAGTATGTTACTAGGTATACAGGAGGGAGTCAGGAGTCAGCAATTCATATGATAGGTAGCCTTAACATCCCCCATCTCCCTACATACAAACATGAGATATTACCATACCATTACTACCTACATTGGTCAATCTCGTTTACCATATCATCATCCTTCTCCTCATGGTCTCTTTCTACTTTCAATGACACGATGAAAGAGATAACATGACCAAGACCCTTTGTATTCGATCCTCTTATCGTCATGAACGAGCGGGCGAACAATATGGCGAGATGAGAAGTGTGCGTGATTCTTCCAATCCTCACATTGCGCAGACTTTCTCGATTGGGTCTGGTTCGGCCGATATCTATAATTGATGACAAGTGCAGTTGTGGGGCTCTTTGGGTTCGAAAATCGATGGATTTCTACTAGGGGGCCAGGGTAGGGTGGGTAACTTTATCAGTGGATCCGGTTGGTTGATCCAAGGCTTATTATTAACCATCTAATGATGATGATGATGCTGATCTGATTCGATCTGATTTCATTTCTCCCTCCAAAACTTACCAACTTGGTCGCTTTCTAGAAGATCTATGATTGCTTGTTTGGAATTCCATCGCATGCATCTATCAACATTACATGGCGCTGGTATGAATAACGTCGTGATTAGATCATCTTAGACATTTCATCTATAGGATCTCAAACATTGAAAAGCTACGCCAGGATCGTTCTAGTTGAGGAGTAGGTATCTCCTTGGAAGCTTTGGAAGACCTCAAGAGACCCTCGAACCTGGAGATTATATCAGAATGGTAGGTAAAGCTTGATGGTACAAGCTACCTACACCTACCATTCAATCATCTATTCAATCATTCATTCATTCATTCATTCATCCATTCATTCATCCATCCATCCATCCATCCATCTCTCCATCCATCTCTCCATCCATCTCTCCATCCATCTCTCCATCCATCTCTCCATCCTAGTTACCTCCAAGAGTCGTTAAAATTTGAACCGGTTTAATTCATCTATCAAATCGATAGCTGAAACGTGTGAAAGGTAACTCTGCCTTCTTGGCGCATCATCTCTTCGGTGTATTCTCCCGAATCATAACATGGGAACCACATATATCTACACATACATACGAATACATACCTTACATGCGAATACTACATTCTACATCCAGGGTCGATCAAATTTCAAAAGATATCCACTACGAATCATCAATAATGAACCATCAACCTTAACGAACGGGAACTTTTACAATACCTACTAGTTTCAAGACACTTGATAATTCTATACTTAAAAAAACATTCTACGCCTCTTACGCGTGGGCAATTCCCCTGAAACAGTTGAACTAAACTTTAGTGGTTTGATTCACTTGAAACTAAAGCTATTAACATGCCATTCATTCATCCATTTGCCATATATCCGGTCCCTAACCATCCATTCCGAACTGATTGATTTAAAACGGCCGGGGGTCCTTCTATTTTGGGAATCTTTGAGCCGCCCTACCAACCAGCCTTGGAGGAGAATGTGGCCGAGATAAGAGTACTTGAACTGTGTAATACTCCGAATATCTCTGACCGAAAATATCGAGTCACAAAAAACCTGCGCGGGTGGACTTTCAAGTGATGGTTCAAAGCTTCAGCAGAAAAGGAGTCTCAACCCCACAAGGTTTCATGAATTAACAGGAGATTTGATCATGCATGTGCATGTGCAGGTAAGGGTTAGTGTTCAGGTACCGCCGAGGGGCTTCCTACCGTACGCCCATAAGCAAGCCAGCTGCCATGATTTGCTTGAATATGAGTGGTCTTATTGTTGTACAAACTCATTGATTACATGAAATCTCGAGAAAGTAGATGAGCACTTTTGAGTTTGGTGTCACTCCACAATGGTACAAGGCTTAAACGAAATACAGCTCAGAGTTTTATCTTCAACCTTATAATTGCTGTTGTTGTTATTGCACTGGACTCATAACCCTTTTTTAATTGTCTTTCATTTGGATCAAGTGCTCCAATTCTTAGAGTTGACCCGAGAAGTTAATGAGTGAATGAATGGTTCACTCTACTACTCACCTCTTTCCTCCATCTCTAAAATGCTTGCTTTGCCTACGTGTGAAATTCTATCAGATCATATTACAATCTGTATCTTTCTCTTGAATATCACTTCCCCATGTCTTCCTTCATCAAGTTCCACCGTACATGTCGAGACGAAGAGGTAGATACCTTGTAATCTCGCCCCTCCCCACGCCACACGTTATACAGAACTCCATTTAGTGTATCGTTGTAACCAAGCCCTAGGAATCAAAAGGCTAATTGCATTTGCCTCGCCTCCAGAAATGGGTTAATCTGGGCTTGGCTTTTGTTCATATGATCTCATTCGGTCAGTGGCGTTGGTGATACATTCATTCACTTTTGTACTATATCTCACCGTCACAACATCTTGTGTGGCGATGCTATTCTTTGCTTAGGTATAATTTTATTATATTATCACCGGCTTGATCTTACACTTCCCTTTTTTGTCTTGAATGAATTCTTCTCTCTAGACGTAGAGGGCTAGTAAGTGCTTCAAACAGATATCTTCTACGATTTCCTCCTTCCTGGCTTCGATTCATTATAATATGCGAAGATGAAGGAGGTCGTTTGCTGTTGATGACATGGATACAAGAAATATATGGAGCAGATAGACCCACTGTCTTGTACATCGACATATTGTAGTTATGCTATCGTTAATCATCAATTAGTATGTAACACGCGTATACTATATAAATTTCTACACCTTCAAAAGAATTCCTCCGAGCTTCTGTAAACCGTTTCATCGCAGCTTTCGCGTTTATACTAATCGTTCCCTTAATATCACTCATTTTATTCATAATTACAGGCTAGCCTCCTTTAAAGAAACGGTGATCCCTTCAAGAATCGCCTGTCCTCCCTCGGCAGCACCTTCGGAACCGTCCTCGCGAGGACTACTTTCTTCACAAGCTTCACGAATACATTCCAATCCTCCCGTGCCCCTATTGGCCGTCTGGAACGCATGCTGAAAATCCCAATATTTGCATCTGTAGGATCATTAGCTGGAGGAACATAACAGCAAAGAATGGGAGGAAGAAGACTTACCCGACAACAGTATCAAATTGCACATAGATATCCATATAATTATCCTCCGTCTTCGTACATCTCCAATCGGGTTTGACACCAGCGCAAATTATCGAGAAATCCCTTTTCGCACTCTGTCATGGGGTAATAGTCGCTGTTGGACGCGCCCTAATTGGACAGATAGACGGTCTATTTCTAATGTATAGGCGGGCACGTGATGGATTTTCCACTCAAGTTCAGCCCGACGCCTCTAGCATGCAGAGCCTTAGAATGTAGCATTGTATGTTGTGACTGTGGACGTCGCGCGGGGCCGCTGAAAGTTACGGTGGTTGTGGGGATCAGTAGGCCAGGGTCGATATATGGATCCCCCTCGCCACCGGTATGATCGTACTCGCATAGATAGTACGATTTCTCGGGGATGTTGTCGAATGACTGAGTGACGATGCGCTGACTGGTACGACGGTCGTCATTCAAGTAGGGAGATATATACAAGCTTCAGCACTATGATATTCCAAGTTAGTGATGCTTTTCTCTATCAAAGTCGGAAAGAGAAGATAACCCTACGACTTTCCAGCAAAAGCATGTACCGGAGATCTAATTGAATCCACATGCCAGTGATAGCTTAAGCCGGCAATATCCCCAGTCTCATTATTTTAATATACGTAACCATCGCCCTGAAATTTTTGTCTAGACAATATCAACCCTGCCATCGCTATTCTCTCTACAGAGTTGGAAATTTGCAGGATCTTAAATATCCCTTGTTCTCGAAAACATGCGCAATGCGAGTTCAAGAGCCATCGGTTTCATGGATATAATTTTGACTTCTAACCATCAGGTTCCTGACCTTCGCTAGTTTCAAAACGAATACGAAGTACGGAGGAAAGAAGTTGCGGTTAGCTCACTAGCAGCTAGATGTTAAGACGGATAGTGTATATTCCTCCACGTTGGGTATACTTCATGCAATATCTGTTTCGCTCTTCGTGAGGAAGAATGCAGCGAGCGGACTTTGGTTGAGTCATTCGATATCTAGTAGACGGTGCGGGTGTTCGATGATGTCTCGTTTTCTTTCTTTTCTTCTTTCTTTCTCGTCGGATCTTCGCTGGATCTTCGAGCACCTTCTTTTGATGACTCGTCGGTTCTTGCATCTCGTTGAGAAAATTGATTTAATTTCTCCTCCCTCCCTCTCTCTTGAGTTGAGATTTTGAGAAGAAAAAAAATTGGGAAAAGAGGAAGTCGATCTACGACTTTTGGATTGGTGGGATGGAGATTTGGTGTGTGTGTTTGGTTGAGGAATTGAGAAATAGTAGTAGTCATTCGGGTGAAGGATTACAGAATCGAAGAGGTTACTTTTGATAATGTCATGAGAAAGGTTACGTTTCTCAACCATTTTGAAGAAAATCCTTGAATGAATTCTTCGATTTTCCTCTTTTCTGCCTGGAGTCTTGCCATTTTTTTAGGCTTTTTTTAAAAAAAATAAAAAAATTCAAACTCATTTTCTCCTTGGAATAGTGTCTTGTCTTCCTATTGAATTTGTTTGACTTTGATCTTCGTACTTGTAGCTCTCATTCCTCTTTCCTTCTGGAATCTTTAGTTAAGGAGTGGGTTAGAGGTTGTATATGCATGTGCATGTGCATGTGCTGGAATGGATGGGATAGAAGATAATTTTGTTCTTCTTGAAATGCACATTGACTGCTGGGAATCATACTTGCTATGTCCATTCGTGAATTATCGACTTGAGTAGTGATATATATATATATATATATATATATATATAATGAGAGACAAGTGTTATCTTGGAGAAGCAATATCAAGAGCATGGATATGTTGTGGCGAGATAATCACATTATGATAGACAGATTATATTTTACATACTATCAATAGTGTGCGCCTATCCATACGATCCCAATACTCGAGCCTTCTCTATTCCAACCCCAACCATCCCCTAACCTCTCACCTCCCCATTCAACCCCCTCTCAAACTCCTCATCCATCTCCCTCAAATCCACCTCCCTCCCCTCAGGCAAAAACCAATAAACACCCACCCCCAATACCCCCACACCCCCCGCCACAAAAAACGTACTACTCTTCCCCGCCACCTCCTGAATCGGCGTAAAAACCTGCGTCCCCACCGCCGCGCCCGCCTTCCCAAACCCCGCACTCACCCCATACCCCAACCCTCTAATCGCCGTGGGAAAACTCTCCGCGCTCATCAACCCAATCGTAGCACCGGGTCCCATGTGTCCCAGACTCGCAAACAATCCATACAGCACCACAAACGCAGGCAGATTTTCCGATGTGGTAAGAGTACCATAACATCCCCCGATGATAAAGCCCAAGATGATGTAGCCTGAAAACCCTAGAGTCCCAGTCCATTTTCTTCCAATGCGGTTCACGAGCCACATGCCAAGCAGCACACCGGGGATAGGGAAGATGGCGAGGATGAATTGCCAGATCGCGACGGTGCGGATGTTTTTCCCGGGGACAAGTCCGTCAATGATGGCGGCGCTCATGATGCTATTTGGAAAATTGACAAAATCGTAGAGGAAGAATGCGGTGCTGGTGCCCAGACAGCGTAATCCATATTTGCGGAGCACAAAGCGCCAGGGAATAGCTCGTTTCCTAAGATTCGATTTCTGGAAGAGTTTTCCGTCCGTCATGCGCAAGCGGAAGAGGATGACGAAGAGCGGGAGAATGGTACTTGTGCTGTAGATGGCGTGAAATGCGACTTTGAGATTATTATCCGAGGCGACCAGAGAGAGGAGATAAACCAGTGTACAGGTAGGCGAACCGGTTGTGGCCATGAGCGTCGAGATGAAGACTTGGATGGGTCCTCTTTTCGCATCGAACGAATCGGCGGATCCTTCGAGGGCCGCGGCGGCGGAAGTGGGATATTCGCCGCCGACGCCGACGCCGGCGATGCCGCGCGCGATGGTGAGGTACCAGAACATGTGTGAGGAGGAAGGAATTTGGAATGTGAAGACCGAGAGCAGAGATCCGAGGATCACGAGGGTGGATGTGAAGAGCATACCGCCTTTGCGGGAAAATTTGTCGGATGTGTAACCGAGAATGAGGATGCCGATTACGGAACCGATGAGGAGGGCATTGGAAATGCGGGTTCGGATTGTGGAGGTGTAGAGTTTGGGGCGGAGGAGGTGGGCGAATATGACGTTTGTGCTTGAAGCCTGTGTTTTGGTTAGATTTGTATGCCGTTTATTCTGGTGGTGTAGGGAGAAGAGAAATGAAGGAAACTTACTAAACCCTGTTGATATCCGTCTGAATAATTCGCCATTGCCTGTGGATATTTTATTAATACATTCATCGTTAACTACTGTCGTATAGATATACAACTTACAGATCCCAGAATCGTCCATATAGATCCAGCTTTAGTGTTCATAGACTCAGCATCTGATTCTCCATCTCTCGATTCTTCCGCCGTGTTATTTTTATTATCTTTCTCTCCCCCCGCTGTCATCGATGATACATCCCGCTTGGCGATATCTTCTGATGCAGCCATTGTTAGAATTCGACTCTACTTGAACTGCGTACAATCTGAGAAATTAGAATTGACAAAATTCTCGTATGAAGAATTCAAATCTTTACAATATCCAAAAAACTCCTTCGTAATTTCCTTCCCAACGAAAAGACAAAAAAATAAAAACAGAAACAAAGATCCAAATAACACAAGGATCATCACCCAAGATATACATAATATAGCCCTCCACCCCTCCTCCAAAACCCCCCTCCCATTCTCGCCATTCTCGCCATTCTCGTCATCCATGTCCCCCTCTAGAATCTCCACACCAACCCCTCTAGTACATCGTACAGATTATTTTACCATCACAAAATCCATCCACCCTCCACAGTCGAAGACTTTTCCATCCCAACCTGCATCTCCGCACCGTCTCCAATCTTCTAAAGTTTAGACCATGAAAAAACTGGGACCCTTCCCGTTACATCTCCGAAAACTCACGGCATCTTTCTCAGCCTTGCGTTTTGTTCTTAGTTTGCATACTTCATGATTGGGTTTTCCATGTCAAAACCGTCGATCACGAGCGCGGATATCGCCTCTGCGGCATAAAGGGGTGGGGCTTTTGAGTGGAAGCGCCGAGCAGTGTCCGATATGTTGTACCCGGGTTATTAGTCAATTTTGAGAGCAATTGTCAAAGATCTGATGGGTGAAAATCAACTTGAAGATTATTGTAATGGTATACTGTCATACTGTCATACCGGCAATATCATCATGTTTCATTATTGTTCTGATTATACTACAAGTCTCTACCACTACCATTCTTTCATCACGAGAGGTGTTCTGGCCACGCTTCTCAATGTTGACTTCATCTTCTACTGACATCGTACCGCGATTACCTCCTTCGCCGCCTCGAGACGAATTTCGGTTTGCCCATTTCTTCCATGCATGTATTACACCTAACCATCTGGATCCTCATCTCAACCTCTAGCTTCTTCTCCATTTTTACCCTCGACATCAACTCGAGACTACATTTATGTTCGCAGAACCAAATAGACGTTAGAAAGTTCAACCTAACTTTCCTCATAAACACGTATATGCTACGAAAAACAACAACTCCCAACTCAATCGCTGATGAAAAAATCTCGTGTAAATGTATATTCCCCATATACATGTAGTTCCAATTCGACCCATTGTGCCCAACCCAAATGCCCACCAAAGGCGCTTCATGTACTGCGCTTTTTCCCAAAACGACTTGAAAAACAATAATGACGAATGCAAATGCAAAGGAAAAGTTTTCTTGTTTGAAAAGTAGAAGAAAGATGTTGTAACCACCGACAAGACTAGTTGACGAAGGTGAGAACTGATAGTGCCTCAATTAGTGAAACTTCCTCGGGTACTAGACTGGGAACTTCCACTATCGCTTGGTGTTTGTGGCTCGATAGAAACCTGGTTCTTGATTGCGACAATCCATTCGTGTTGTAGGAGTTCTGGTGCCGAAGCACGCTTCTTAGGGTCTCTAATGAAACATTTTTTGATGAAATCAATACCCTGAGGGCTGAGTTGATCTGCTGACGGCATTTGGGGAGGATTGCCTTGGGCAATATTGTACATGATGGCCCATTCATTATCAAGAGATGTCCAGGGTCGACGACCTGTAGCCATTTCAAGAATAACACAACCGAGTGACCAGACATCGACTGAACCAGCTCGTCCTGGATTCTCTCCTTTGATTACTTCGGGTGACATGTACATAGGCGTTCCAGTCATAGATTTGTTCTTGTTGGCAAGACTGGCTGTAGTTGCGGTGACTAGAGTTTTACCTTGACGAGCAATGACTTTTGCGGCGCCAAAATCTACATATTTGATTACACCATTGTGATCAAGGAGAATATCTGTGTTGATTGTTAGAGAGATGATCGTGATATGAATGAGGCAAAAAGATAACTTACTTTCTGGTTTGATGTCACGATGAACGATGCCACTTTCGTGAAGATATGCTAGACCTTCAAGAAGTTGCAAAGCGTACACCATTATCACCTGTTCGTCCTCGATTCTCCCATGCTCTAAAAGACCTGCAAGTGACCCACCAGAACAGTACTCCATGAAAATATAGACTTTGTCGCGATGGACTTCAATTCCATGATATGAAACCACGTTGGGATGATCGAGAACCTCCAAGACGTGCATCTCATCGGCAATCTGAGCAGCAATTGTAGGAATCAGGTTAGGATCTTGTAGACGAATCTCTTTCACAGCCATAAGATGACCAGAGTCCAGATTGATCGCAGCGTACACTGATCCAAAAGTACCACCACCAACGAAGTTACCTTGTTGCCAGCGCATATTGATATTGGATGGAGAAGCAGAAAGATGTGTGAGAGATCGGTCTGCTTCATTATTTTCTTCAAGAACCCTGCCGAGAGCCTGTCTTTCCGCCTCGATAACCTTTCGTTCTTCATCAAGTTCAGCTATCAGTTCAAGACGTTGTGAAAGAACAAACGCAGCTGATTCCTCATCGTCAGCCATTCCCCTGATATCCATCTTCCTAAATTGGCCATTCAATGTCTCCACCCGCTGTTTCTCTGCTTGAGCGGCCAAATTTGATCTTGCACCCATGATATCAAAATGTGAAATCAATAGAGACATACATCCAGAGACCTTGGATCGAAGTCTTGTATACTCGTCTTCCCCTAGAGCTAGAATATGTTGGCCTTGAGTCATGCCCATTGCGAATTCAAGTGCAAGTACCGCCCATCTGAATGTTTTACGATCCGTGGGAACGCAGTCATCACAAATGAAGCTCACCCAGTCTAGGGCAATCTTTGTGAGTTTGATGTTGTTCATTTGCTTTCGGTTTCGATCCATATAAGGCAAAGACCGCTGACCAAACTCGGTAGCGAAGATGAAACAGGTTTGGATGAGTTCCTGACATTCCAACCCTTTTGTTTGTTTTCGAACAATTTCCACGCTGTCCATAATCAAGTTTGATAGCTTATACACGACTTTCTTGATGTCGGTCAATTTAATGTGCACTTTCTTGAGATGGGATCTCTGTTCAACCACCATATCCAGATGTATTCCGATCGAATCTAAAAACGCCATTCGAGCATTTGATAATCTGGCTTGTGATCCATCTGCAATAAGTCGAAGATGTCCAACTTTCAAATCTATGTTGATGTTTATCAGAGCTGAGTCGACCTGTCGACCATCCCATCCTATTGGGACCTCGGGGCGAAGAACTAATATATAAGGGTTGCTAGGGTCTTGTTGTGTATCCTCAGTCTGATAGCAAGTTCCTAGAATAGACTGGATGTCTTGGGGTCGATTGTACAAAGACGGAGAGGCTATGAGAAAAATACCATCGTGCTCGATGCTTGCAGTATAAACCAAGAAGTGACCGGTTTCAATAAGCCTGGAGTAGAGTTCTTGCAAACCACTCTGCTTCATAGCAATGCTGAAGTCCGTCGAGTTTTCGAAACGATCACTCAAAACCCTGGAAAATCTTTGCAACATACGCTGCCGCACACGAACGGAGTCTAGACTCTGCTTATATCGCTTCGTCATCTCAGAAGCTGTTTCCTTTGGCTTTCTCACCATCTCTTTTTCGAAAGTGGTATTCAGTCGGAAGAAGGCCTTGTGGGTTAAAGAACTAAATTGCTCCGCCACTTCAACATCACCACCTTGTAGATGTCGCCCGATCTCGTTGGAGAAGTCCCATTCTTGCTCAAGAACTTCAGCTTCTTTGAAAGTGTTTTTGTTTCCGCCCAATTTCCAATTGAGCATCTTGAAGTAAAACTTAAGTGCATCTAAAACTACCTGGTCAAATGACTCGTCAATACAAGGTGGTAAGTCCCACCCAGGCTCAGGATTTGATATGGTAAGGTACTCCTGCTTGATCAATATGGCAAGTTTCAGTAATATTCTGAACTGCGAAATCATCTGCTCGGCCATCATTGCGTTCTGTTGTGTGGATTCTCGCATCTTTTTGGCATAATTTAGTCGAACCTTGATAATCTCTTCGATGAGGCGCGATGGGAAGTTTATGAGAGTGAGTAACTCTTCGATATAAGGAGGTAAATGACGTTTCGCAAAACCTTCGGAGTTCTCGATCAATGTATTCTTTGCTTTCATGATAACCTCAGATACACCTAACAGTATGCTTTTATCACCCTGTAGAGATCTTAACCCATCCTCCTTGAGCAATCTATCAATAAATGATGATTCATCGGAGAGTCCGTGTCCTGAAGGTGAGCGCTCTCTCACTTTGGTGAAGTCGAGTTCCGGGTTTCCTACCCAGTTTTGCAGGACGGCAAGTTCAATGTTGATGAGTTCGGTGGTGTTGTGCCATGATATGACAGCGTCGCAGGTAGCAGCGAATTGTGTAGACGCTGCCAGTTTATTCGCCATTTCCAAGCCAGTGCGAGATGGGTATAGACTTTCACACTTCTCAATCTTTGCAACTATGCCCCGCACTTGATCAATAGGTGACTTTCCAGCCTCACTCTCGCCTTGCACCTGAAACTTGATGATTTCCTCTAAAACGGTGTCAAGGTTGGCCCGGGTGTCTTCTAATATTCGTCGCTGGGCCCCTAAGCTTCTGCCGCAAACCTTCGATCGTATACCAAGCCAAATCTCTGTCCCAATGTTCTCTGCTTTGTTTTCTGAATTACCAATTAAACGTTTCTTCTCTTGCCTAACTACATCTCCGGTTAGCACAGATGCTAACATCCCGTGCCATTCTAGACGCTCTCTGTTTGCGGGATCTTTCAAGTCTTCCTGAGTAGGTTGTATGTCATCGTTGTTGTAGAAAAGTACAGTCTCTTGATCGAAGGGATCACCGTCGAATTGTAACTCTGATGGCGATTCCTCTTCAGTGTCTGACCCTGTTCCATATCCAAGACTAGGTGTGTAAGGTTCAGCGAAATATTCGAAGGGTGGATCATTCTGCCGTAATCTTTGCACGTAAGCTCTTTCTTGCGCACGATATGCGCCACTAGGATCTTGTCTATTAAATCTCGAGTTTGAACCGGATCGATGACGATCCG